CTATGCAAACCTCATGAAGTTCAACAAGGCCAAGTGCAAGGTCTTGCACATGGGTCAGGGCAACCCCCAGCACACATAGAGGCTGGGCAGAGAATGGATTGAGAGCAGCTCTGAGAAGAAGGACTTGGGGGTGTTGGTTGATGAAAAACTCAACATGACCTGCCAATGTGCACTTGCAGCCCAGAAAGCCAACCGTATCCTGGGCTGCATCAAAAGAAGCATGACCAGCAGGTTGAGGGAGGTGATTCTTCCCCTCTACTCTGCTCTTGTGAGGCCCCACCTGGAGTACTGCGTTCAGCTCTGGGGCCCCCAACGTGAGGACATGGACCTGTTGGACCGAGTCCGGAGGAGGGCCATGAAGATGATCAGTGGGCTGGAGCACCTCTGTTATGAGAACAGGCTGAGAGAGTAGGGGTTATTCAGCCTGGAGAAGAGAAGGCTCTGGGGAGACCTTGTAGCAGCCTTGCAGTACCTGAAGAGGGCCTACAAGAAAGCTGGAGAAGGACTTTTTACAAGGGCACATAGTGATAGGACAAGGGGTAACAGTTTTAAACTGGAAGAGGGTAGATTTAGATTAGACATAAGGAAGAAATTCTTCACCATGAGGGTGGTGAGGCACTGGAACGGGTTGCCCAGAGAAGTTGTGGATGCCCCATCCCTGGAAGTGTTCAAGGCCAGGTTGGATGGGGCTTTGAGCAACCTGGTCTAGTGGAAGGTGTCTCTGCCCATGGCAGGGGGTTGGATCGTGGCAGGGGGGGGTGGAACCAGATGATCTTTAAGGTCCCTTCCAACCCAAACCTTTCTAGGATTCTATGATTTTTCAAGGCAAAATTAAAGTGAGGCATCACACACAGTACCGGGGCCACTTTCTGACTTTGTCAATATCAACGTTTTCTCAGCTAGCTCTCATCTGGTACTGAGGTTGCCAAAAGTGTGGAAGGCTGAAGTGCATGTGGATTTCAACCCCATCATATCTGTAGTAGTGTTGTCAAAACTTGCTTGGATAGCACCATTATTTTGCATGGTAACATTATGTTTACATTATGTTGGTTTATATTTTTTTTTATTATTTTGTGATTGTTTGATATAGTTTTCTATAAAATATATTTAAATACTGTTTTGATACAAAACCAAACTCTCTGGAAGACAAGAAATGCAAATGTTAGAACTTAATGGTGTTAGGTACTACCTGGTGCTACATGTTAGTCTTTCATAATGCTGTATCATCAGTTGGTCCAAAATACTTACATGCATGTGCTAGGAAGAGGGCTTTCACGTGGCACCTGCTTTAGATTTACTATCATCTACAGGGTCCTCAAGGTCCTCCTGGTCTTGATGGAGTGGTTGGTCCACCAGGACAGAAGGGAGAAAAGGTAAGTTAAATATCCGTCTTGCTCCTACTTCAGTGGAAAATCTTTGTCAATTCTAGGCTGTAAAAATTGTAAATAGTTGTCCCTGCAACACAGTGTTGGCTGGCTTCAATATTTTTTTTTTAATTGAATCCAGCTGCTAATGGGTTATTAGAATACATCTCAAAAGGCATATTCAGAAATCCAGAATTCCCTGTTGGGTACAGTCTCATTTTCTGCAGCATGCAATATTCAAAATGCAATATGAGCTACTCTGTTGTGATTCATGAGTAAAAAGCCAGTCATGACTGGACTCATGCAGGTGAGTCTGTAGGGGGAAGAGAGAACTCCAGCTATTCTAGACTGGCACAGACTGATGGCATAGTCCCTGCAGAAAGTGCCCTCTGTGATGCCCTGTGTCTATACCAGGGCAACTGGAATTACTTAAGTTTGGATTCTGGGACCACTGACACATCAAGTTTTGTACACTTCTGCAGCATCCTGTATTTGTCTTAACTGCTGACTACTGCACTGCTGCTGACCCCAGATACAATATCCCATCCCCACATTTGCAGCAGTTCTAGCCTTCACTCACCCCTTGATGAGACATTTCAGTATCCTAACCTGGCAGCAAAGGGTTACTTAATTTTCTGTTGACTTGCTGCACTGGTTGGCTTCATGCATGATCAGGTGAGCACTATGGCCAGCAAAAGGGAAGGAGTGGGGAATATGTAAATGAAAGCAAAGGATCATAGCACCCAGCAGATAGATTTTCTTGTGTTGCCATAGAACCAAAAATTACATCTTGCAAAATTGCCACTCTTTTTAAGTTTCCCCAAATTACTGCATCCATTTTTTTTTCACCCCACTTCAAGAAGGATGCAGAGAAGACAGAAACAGTGCAGCAGAAAGCTATGGAGATGGCCAGGGGCCTTGAGTACATGACCAATGAGGAGAGGCTGAAGGAGCTCAAACCATTTAATCTGGCAAAAAGGAGACAAAGACATGGCCAACAGATACAAAGATATTATTATAACCTTTTAATGAGGGCTAGTGAGTCTCCATTTGAAATACTGAATCCATTTTTTTGCACCCCACTTCAAGAAGGATGCAGAGAAGACAGAAACAAAGACTACAGGAAAATTTCATCTTCTAGTGAGCTGCTACACCACACTTTATGCACAAGAACTTGAAAGTAGATTCCCAAGTGTACATTGAAAGCTCACATACTGTAAGGGAAATGAAAAGGCAAGTCCTAAATGGCCAGAATATTGATATTTATTTATGCATGTATTTTTTAAATCACAAGAATTTTTTTAAAATCTCCTCTGGAGACTGAAGAATCTGACTTGTGATTTCAAAAGCCTGAGGCTGGTAAAACTGCAGTACACACAAGAACTAGCAACTATCCAGAAAATGCAGTACGTATGTTACAAAGCAGGCATCCAAAACTTGTGTTCATTGTAATCAGTAGTATGTATTTTACATAAAGGAGTCTAAGAATAGAAAGAAGTCTAGCTGAAGTAAACTCAACCTGAATTGCATATTATAGGAACAGACTGATTTGGAAAGGGAAGTAATTTGAAGAAAAATTAAATCCTCAAAAAGGGCATCATCCTCAAAAAAAATGGACAAAATCTCTAATGTTTTGCTTCACTGAGCCTGTTTTCTGCACTGTGTATATCTGATAAAAGTTCAATTAGAAATGAAGCATTACATATTTGCACCTACTCAGTACAATCCCCAGCACCTTGGGATAATAGGATTTTTCCATTTCTACTATTCATTTTTTTTCTGAAAACCTTGATTTAATCTATATTGTAATACCTATTTTTAATCATTATCCCCAATTAATCCGGAGGAGATTACAGGGAGAAACTGCAGGATGCACTGAAAGTAAAGTTAATTTGTTCCTTTGAGTGAAATCTGGTGTGTTTTTTTGCCATTACTTTTGGAAGAAAACGTTGTTATCATTTTACTCCTGGTGCTTAACTCATTTTTTCAGACCTTACTCAAGCAATATTTCTGTTGAATAAGTAAGGACAGGAGCTTGCTAATATAACAATTAATTCTGTTAGATTCAGTGCAATTTGGAAAAGAAGTATTTGCATGCTATGACTTTCTGTCTATTCCATGAACTAGAAGTGGAAAAAACAGTATCTAAGTAAAGTGTATAAAAGCAAATCAAATAACTTGATTGCTCCAGAGGAGCCTTAAAATCATACTAGTCATTATATCCCTTGTTTGAAACGGTGCCGTAGACAACTTGTGTGGGATCAGTTTGCGCTTCTGTTATATCCCATGAGAGTTTTGACATTTAAGTTCAGAAGCATGAGGATGTGACCCATAATGCTTAATTCTGTGTGCTCCAGACCTTTAAAATCTGCAGTAATAATTGACATACAAGATTGCATGCTGTCTGCATACCAGACCAGAGGTATTCATTTGTTATTATAACTCCTGAATTACAGATTGTTTTCTTTTTAACTAAGAGGTCTAATGTTTCATGTGTAGGACATTATGACATCAAATTAAACAACACAGAAATCTGTGGATATTTTAATTAAGCAAAAATATCATAAATGTGTTTTCATTGCCTGTCTAATGCTCTTACTGTAAGTAATTACGTTTTCTTTTATAGGGTGATCAAGGTCTTCCTGGTTCTGTTGGTCCAAAGGTAAAAAAAATACAGTGTCTTTATAGGATAACAGTATCACTCTAATACAACACATTACTGAAAAGGGCTGAGAAGTCTAAAAGATTATTATTGTGAAACCTAAGTTGAACCTAAGTAAGTCAGCAAACTTGGCTTCTCAGTTGGCCAAAGTACTTCTCTAAGAAGTGTGGCCAGGAGGTCAAGAGAGGTGATTCTTCCCTCTACTCGGTTCTTGTGAGACCCCACCTGGAGTACTGTGTTCAGCTCTTGGGCTCCCTTCATAAGACAGACATGGACCTGCTTGAGCTGGTTCAGAGGAGGACCATGAAGATGATCAGGGGGATGCCGCACCCTGGGAAGTGTTCAAGTCCAGGTTGGATGGGGCTTTGAGCAACCTGGTCTAGTGGAGGGGTATCCCTGCGCATGGCAGGGGAATTGGAAATAGATGATCTTTAAGGTCCCTTCCAACCCAAACCATTCTATGATTCTACTTACTTGCATCTATTTATGCATGTTCAGTATACCAGTAGACTGACCTTTTATTTTAGGGTGATACTGGAGTCACTGGACCAATAGGCCCCAAAGGAGAAGCGGGTGCTGTTGGGTCTCCTGGGAAACCTGGACCACCAGGACCTCCTGGGCCCCCTGGGCCCCCTGGACCTCCTGGACCCCCAGGACTAAGCTACAGTTTGGGATTTGAGGTATTCTGCTATTATGGGGTTTGTTGTAGCTATGGATCTGCGTCCTGCAGAGGAGAGAGAGTGTAATCACCTGTATATTTCACAGCTATTTAAGTTTGAATTGATGACAGAGTCATTTGCTCTAGATTGAAATTTGCCTAGGAGTAGCCTACAATTCCTTTTACATTTGACCATACAATTGGCCATGATTAGACCATGGAAGTAATGGATTTCTTTGGGCAATTTTCATGAAACTATTCAGTAGTAACGGTGTTCAGATGCTATTTTTGATGCTTATATCATTGCTAATATAAAATACTCAAATACTGTACTACAAGGGAAAACTTCTTTAACATTTTTTTTTCATGTAAATAGTTTAGAGCAATGATCTAAATATACATAGATACCTGACAGTATTCATTAAAATTAAACTGCAGGTGCCCCTTAAGCTATGACTTTTCCAATGTTGTCATTCTTGAGGCCACAAGTCTAGTTTAGGCATGTCACTTATGTAACGTATAAACACAGAGACAGATGCTGAACATTTCTGACCTCATGGACTGTTCTACTCAGAAGAAAAATTCTCTATTAAAAAAAAAAATGCGGATGCTACTCTTTCTACTTCTGAAAATAATACCTTCATGACTTTAAAATATGAGATCTGGTCAGCTCAAACTGAGTTTTACATGTCATTTGAGAACTGCTCATTTAGATGATCTTTTTGGAGCAGAAAGTGGCTTTACAGTACAGAAGGGCAAAGGGAGCACACTCAGATTCAAGAACTGAAGCTGCTCCATTAACATCTTTGTGAAGAGAGGTTGACAAATTGCCTACATCAATATTCACATGAGTCTTCACTTTTTTCCTTTTTCCATACATTTTTCATTTCTCATTTAGCTGTTTGGCTCAGGAAAGTCTTTTCAGAGGTTTTGGGGTTTTATATCATGGGATATAATACAAGTTTGTATAGAAACTGAAGGCAGTTTCATCAGAGAAGTAAGCAATGTTTGACTAAAACTACCGGTACAACCACTGCAGTAAAGTGGTGGTGTTTAAAAGATACCAGTTTACTTACACGTTTCTCCTAGTATCTACATTACCCCTTTTGTATTTCTCTTTTCTTTACTCTAGAGACACTTTGAGTACTCCAAGTACAGAGGTGACTACTAATGCTTGTTTAGAGACATATTCTGATTTCTGATGTCTGACTAAATAATATTGTACTATATACACTACTGGTTAATAATCTCACTGATGTCAGTGGATTTCAATGGATGAAAAAAAATATCTCCAGCAGTTCACAAGTTCTTAATTGCCAGCACTGCAATTGTTAGCAAGGAACAGCAGAAAGTCTAAGTGTACAAACACTCCATTGCATTAACTTAAGCATACTATAAAGGTTGGCACAGAGTCTCCCCTGAATAAACATGTACTTGTTTCAAAATGAGGTAAGGATTACTGGTAAGCCACATCTTCATCCTAGGCCTGGTCTGAGTTTTAGCCCAGTATGATGGCTTCTCTGACTTACAGTCATCTTCTGTGACCCTTGAGAATCCAGTGTTAAGAGATTCTCCACACTTCCCCATTCACGATATTTGAGTAGAAGCCGACTTTTCTTCATTATGCCACCAAAGAGTTCCTCTGCAGGTAGATACTTAGGACCAAACTCTGCCACTTCTGATACCTAAGCTTCAGAGGAGCAAAGTTAGCGGATGAGCAGGAGAGAGTGAAAACTGGAAGTCCCCACTTTTACGGACACGGACACAGACACAGAAGGATCCCAGTTCTAACTGCAGCAACAGTATCTTGACTGGCTTCATCTTGAACTCCATCTAGTCCAAACAGAATTGGCATGATTGTCACTTCCCTGAGAGGAATGCTACTGTTAAGAGGCTTGCTAGTTCTAGCTGATCTTTTGGATGCCCACCCCTGCCATCTGTTAAGGCAGTACCATGGTCTGCCAGTTCGTTAGGACAACACTACCTTTTGGTTGGCAGTCTGTTTATTGCTGTAAGGCTGTTTCTGCAAAACATTCCTGTTAGCACTTGTTAGCATCTGTGATCAGCTATGTGCAAAAACCAAATGGCATGGGGTTTGCTGGCACTTATGCTTGCCAAAAGAACAGTTTGAGCTGCAGAAGGTACCTGGTAAACCCATTAAAAACATGCAGATGTCAAAAGCGATGGTGTGTTATATAAAGAAGGCATCAAGCACTCAAAGGGAAAAATATATTGGCACAGTGGAGGCAAGGGAAAGAAGGACCCAGATAACACAGCTTGTGGTTTACCCTAAGTAGCAAATGTTTGGTTAAACAGGCCAAACAGAATATCAGCAGATTTTCTGTTGATATTTGATACACTGATAGCTCATAGAGGAGCAAAATGAAAGTCTGAATTACCTTCAGTCTCAGGTGAAGTTGCATGAAAGGACTTAAGTCAACATGATGATTCAGTGTCTCCCACCTTGGTCCCCAAAAGGAAGGACCTGATTTGAACTGTGCACTCCTTCTGCTTCTCTTGTTCATGCTCTCATAGAGTTGGTGGAAAAGGGCAAAAGAATGAGATCTCTCTTTTTCACTGGAGTCGGATCAGTTGATGTTTTCCATAACTTCAGCATTAGGCTCATTTCATCACAGCTTAAGCTGATCTAATTGGTCTTCCAGCCTTTCCCTTACACCATCTCCAGAGTGCATCAGACCTATGGCAATCATCTGAGCCATTTCAAGTCACTAACTAGCAGAAAGCTAAGTAGGCAAGGAGTATGGGTCCTCTAAACATGATAATTTGATACAAAGGTTCATTGTCACTAAGTGGTGGAGATTCTGCTTTGCTCCTGCTCCTCCTCCCATCTGCAGCCATTCCTGGCACATGCCTGCCCTTTGCATGGTCTAGCATCCAGTGTTCCATCAATCCTTCCACAAGCCAATTTAATTTACTAAAACTTTAGAGAACCATCCCACTCCCCAAAAGTAACGTATTTTCTGCCATTTGAGTGATTTAAAGTGGCTTACAGGGAAGTGAGGAGATTCAACACATAGCACTGATGTTGAAAATTAAGGGTGTATGGCTGTGAGCAGGGAAATGGAGCAAAGAAATATCAAGATTTTCCCTTTTCATAAAAACGAAACAGTTAAGCCAGCACAGCTGAATATAAAACTGCAGCTAAAAGCAAGTGAACAGTTTCCTGCTGGCATGGTTCATCCAGAAGGTTTGAAGCGTAGTCTGGCAAGTTCTAGATTAGGCATAAGGGAAGGGACAGGAACATGTGGCTGGGATGGTGCTGGGTGTAAAACAGGTAATTATGGGAGCCTGCAATTTTATTTCTTTGGCTGCTTTCGAACTGGTAGCTCCTGGTTCTGCCATGGATTTGGAATGTCACAGTCAGAACAACGAGAGCTGGAGGGAGGTTGCTGCTTTCTGCATAGTCTCCTTTAAAACCCCTAGAAAATCTCCACAGGAAATACGGATGTTGGTCTCAAGGTCCTCCACTTCACAGAGATCTTCCTGAAGTCAGCAGAGGACCATGACAATGGTCAGTAGGCTGGAGCACATGACCTATGAGGAAAGACTCATGGAACTGAGCTTGCTTAGTCTGGAGAAGGCTTACGCATTTTAGCAGCCTTCTGATACCTAAAAGGAGGTTATTGAGAAGACACACGGCCAGGATCTTTAAAGTGGTGCACAGGGTGATGAGCAACAACAATTATAAATTGAAACAGGAGAGGTTCTGACTTGATATAGGTAAAATATTTTTCACCCTGACGACAGCCAAGCATTGGAACAGGTGCTTGGAGAGGCTGCAGAACTTCCATCTCTGGAGGATTCCAAGACCTGAGGGGACAACGCCCTAAGCAACCTGATTTGAATTCAGTGTTGTTGCTGCTTTCAAGAGGAGGTTGGATTAGGTAGCCTCTGAGATCCCTCCCAACATAATTAATTCTACAATTTTATGATAGAACATTTTTTTCCTGCTCATTTTCATTTCAGTAAGCTCTATTTTAGGCAGGAGTTCAACATTCAACTGTGAGAATTAGGAAGGAACTTTATTTTTGAATAATGATTACTGCCCTCAACAAACTGCCTGCAAGTCCTTCCTGCCTTAAATCAGTTATGTAACCCTCACTAGTCATTACAGTATTTCAGTAGCCAGGTGGCAGGCAAACGCTAAACAGAAAAATACTGCTACAGCATGCTTCAACATAGCACATACTTAAAACTGTGATGCTGTCTCACATCTGCTTGATGCTGTCCAGCCTGAACAGCTGGAGAAATGGTGTCAAATTGGCAAGACTGTAAGAGTTTCTGTAAAAAAGAAGACCAGAGTTTCTGTAAGGAAGATCAACATGCCCTTATTGCATTTGAGTGCAGCCTATCTCCAGAACATCATGCATTGGTCAAAAAAAGGTTAATGAAAAAAGATAAAAATATTTATGTTCAGTATCTTTCCGGTTTTTTATAGGACTCCAGAAAATAGAGCAGTTGGAAAAAAAAGAGAAAAAAAAAAACAACAGATAAATTCTTAAATTCTGTAGCATTTTTTCTCTTCCATTAGGACATGGAAGGATCAGGTAGCATTGGCCTGTTACGTGAATCCAGAATTCCAGGATCAAGAGGGCCAAAGGTAAGTGGATTTTCTGGGGCAGGTGTGTGTTGTTTGTCATTGGGTTTGTTTTTTTTTTCAAAAACAAAAGCATCCTCCTCTCTGCTTTTGGAAACACATAGCCCCAGCCAGCTATAGATTTGGAGTCACTGTGCTGCACTGGATTCAGTTGCTTTAGAATGACATTACAGTAACTGTGTCCTCCAAAGAATCTGAATCGTATTTCTCTGATACCTGGTTAGCTGATGATTTTTAGATTCTGCTTTGGTACATTTTTGAGAGATTAAAGGATGAAACAGAGGTTTTTTGTATTATCTAGCTCTCTATTTCTTGTTTTACCCTAAGAGATGCCCTTCTTGCATACGAAGATGAATGACATATACTAATGAAACTGTAATTTTATAGTTTGACAATCAAATACAATGCATCAGTACTTACCAGATCATTTGGATTTATCTTCATTCTCAGCAATAACACCAAAACTGCAGCCTATGATGCCTTCCCCAAAGCAGGCAATTATCCAGCATTCCTCTTCCCAGAGCTGCTTGCATTGTTCTAGTTTGGTCTTCAGAAGTCTTGCCCATGTGCTTTGAAAGACATAGCTTTGAAAGAATGAGTCTTGTTGCCCAAGGTTGGAGAAAGTTGTATGTTGATGACCTTGGGTTATGGTAGATGCCAGATTGAATACTAGGCAACAGTGCACTATCACTGCAAATAAGTCAAACCCTGTACTGGAATACATCGGAAAGAGCATTGCCAACAGATGTAAAGTTGTTATTATTATAGCCCTTTACTCAGGGCTAGTGAGGCTGCATTGAAATACTGAATCCATTTTTTTTGTACCCCACTTCAAGAAGGATGTGAAGAAGACAGAGACAGTCCAGCAGAAAGCTGTACAGATGGCATGGGGCCTTGAGTACATGACCAGTGAGGAGAGGCTGAAGGAGCTCAAATGGTTTAGTCCAGCAAAAAGGAGACAAATGCATGATCTAATAGCTGCTTACAAGTCTTTCAGGGACAATTGCAAATATGATGAAGCCAAACTGTTCCTGATAGCGCCAGATGGTGCAACAAGGGACAGTGGTCACAATTTGCAGCTTGAGACATTCAGGTTAAACCTTAGCAGAAACCTGTTCACTAGGAGCTTGGTGCAGAACTGGGGCAATTTGCCCAAGGAGGTTGTGGAAGCTCTGTTCTTGGAAGTTTTTAAGACTTTGCTGGACAGAGCCATGACCGACCTGATCTAGAGCTGGTGACGCATCTACTTCAAGGGGATGACTGGATTAGATGGCCTCCAGAGGCCCTGTACAACCCTGTTTCTTTGATTCCATGAATCATCAGAAATGAACTGAACACTGGTGACAGAAGTGAGTTTGAGAAACTTTTTACTGTGCTGGTTTAAAGTACTAGTAATTGTGAGTCACTGAAGTTATAATTGACTCAGTTTAATATCTTGGAGCCGTTTCCCCCCTCTTATATCTTTTCCTAGATACTAAAAATGTGGCACAAAAAATACAGACACAAAAATAAGAATAGAATTTGTTAGCTGAAACAAGCTAGTGTCCAAAATGAGATGTCCAAAACCAGTTCCAAAATTGCCCATTCTGACCTGCCTAAATGATAGCCTTACTCTCAGTTTTGGGTTTATAACAGGCATTGTTTCAAGTCACTCAGGTATAAGTACTGAAAAAATGTCTTATTGCAGCTGAACAAAATCCTGGAATTTTGTTTTCCTGTTATTGCTTAGTCACTCTACAAAGTCTGAGTCAGCAAAGAAGGCACATAAGAACTCTCCTGTAATCATGAAAATGATTATACGTACTTACTGGTACTGCATGAAAGCATTATGAGCCACTTACACCCTATGACAACTCCAGAGGTTCCTGACTGTGTTTGAGTGAAAATAGAGTATCTGCTTCTAAGAGGGCTGTAACTCAAAGCAACTTCTAGGAAATAATTTACATTTATTTGCACTATATTTATATCTGTCCATTTTTTTTATTAATCTTTTATGAGAAAATAGTGGTTATGTTTTGAAGTAGAAGTATCAAATTTATTTTGTCTGTTTGCTTGGCTATCAGTTCCAGGGTTTCTATTCTCTTTCTTCTACCAATCAGTGTAAAATTTTGTTGGTGTTTGGTTTATTAGTGTCTTGTCTTCATATTCCAGATGAAGACAACTCAGTTACTTTGTTGAATCCTTTTTTTTCCATTCAACTTTCTAAAATGATCAATAATGAACTGTTGTTCATTTTACCATCAAAAAGAGTCACAACAGTACTGTACAATTAATGTCATCATATAAAGACAAGAGACAAATTTGCATCCCCCAAATGTTTGTTTCAAGCTACTTTTAAACCTAGCAAGACAATGCCGTATTGCCTTTAAACTGGTAACATATCTTAATTTTAGCCAAGGAGGCAAATTCAAAAACTTGTAAGCAACTGAAAGCAATCTCTTGCAACAAATGCACTTGGACAACTTTATTTCTAATATTTTTCTAAAAATATGTATAGTATGCAGTACCAAGATTAAAGTTTGTCTTTAGATCTTTGCACGATAATATAGAGCAAGGCAGTATTTATTAGAACAACAAATCTAAAACAATGCTTACATTTTATTACTCTCTGTTGATACTACTGGTCTCCAACATTGTTTTTATAACAGTTGTGGTTATGAATTAGGGTTTTTTCTGAGAAAATTTATTACAAAATGCTACCTGGATTTACCAGTAAATTCAGTGTAATTTTACAGGGTTCTGCAGGAAGACATGGACAGATTAGCAGAATGGGGCCTTAGAGAGGAAGGGGCTTTTTCTGTTCCTATATAAAGCTTGAGTATCACTCAGGTTAATAGTACAGCATGACAACACCTTTTCAGCACCTTAAATGTGGAGTTAAAGAAATTCAAAGTCTTCATTGCCCTGGGAAATGACAGCAACATTGAGAGAGCAGGAAATGCAAAAAAAATAGCTGGGGTCCCCCATCCTCTCTTCCTAAAATTTACACCTGAACACACACAGCACAGATCACTGACTACCCAGAAAGCACATTTCCAGCAATAACTGCATGCATCTGTTTCATAGAACAACAGCAATCAATGATCTGGCCAGTCCCCTATGTCTAGAGTCTATAGAACTCAGCTTATAGGGATGAAAAAAGACCCTCCACTGGGTACTGTTAATGCTGGAGGACAACATTACTTATGAGTGAAAAAAATCAAGTATTTGCACAGCACGTGTTAGTGAATGATACTGCAAAAGACTGGCTAGAATAGACGTGCTCTCACATGATGCTGCTCTATGGACACAACTAGGTGCCAAGTCTCCATTTTTTGTTAAAAACTTATGCTCTGCCCTTAACTAGAAATTTTGTTTCTAAAATATTGTGGAAATATTGTTTCACAAAGACTTCAGAAATTGAGGTAGCATGATTCCTAGGATTTAGGAACTGGACTGGGGCTGAAAAGATAGTCATAAACCTTGGCCAAGAGACTTCACCACCACCTACACTAACATTTTAGTTGTTTAATCTTGAGTCATTCATCCCCAAAATCATGGAGACACAGAAAGGAACATAGCATTGCCTGACATCTTACAAAATCGGGTACACTACAGCAAAATTAATATAAAGTAGTTATAATACACTGTCATTCTCACGGGGATAAATTTTACACCCACTTTTCATACTTATAAATGACTTCACTAGGCAACAGTGGCAAAATACAACAACCACCCACTTCCAAAAACCATGAGCTGACACATCATGAGGAGTTTAAGGTATAGTTATGTTTCATACATCCTCCATCCTTCAAATACCCCAGACTACCCAGAGCTGTCAGAGGAGGTCTACTGTGATCAAAGTTTTTCTTTCTTTTCTAGCGAGTAAGTATAGATCCAAATTCTGCTTTAACTTTTATTATTATGAAAAACTGTTTTCATTAAAAAACAGTCTACAGTCTTCATGCATTCATGAATATAAGCACTCCTAAAAGACAATAAGCATAAACGTAACATTTGAGGCAATGGCTGTAGCTCCTTGCTAATTTATTCATGTTTATATTCTCTGTCTCAAATGAACTAAACTAAATTGCATGTTCTCTGTCTGTAATGAAATCAAGGAATTATGTCTACTCAGATCTAGAGTACTGCAGAATCAATCTGAAAGGTGGAACTCATTACATTGCACTCATTACATTGCTCGTGGTATGATGCAGTGGCTGGGTAGATGGGGAGAGCAGTAGTGTCGGGGAGGCTGAGTTAACTGTGTTGAAGGAAGGTGGTGGCTCATTTGTGGAGGCACAGGGCTATTGTGGCATTGGTAGATCTGGACAATGTTACCATGTGCTGATTTCAGACACCAAAACGAAGGTTCAGGTATGTGGCTTGGTAGATGCTCAGCAAAAATAATGTGTGGTGACCAGAAACTCTAAGATGTATGTGGCAACTGGGAGGTTAAATCCCCAGAACCAATTCACAAATGCATGCTGAGCATCACTTTACCAGAAATATGCGCTATTTTTGCTAATCATTTTACTCCATTCAGTCCCTTTGTTTGTAAGGAAAATAACGTACATGTTTAAAATCCTTGTAATTACTGTTCACTCTGATATCTGAGCCCTACTGTGTCTCTCTTTCAGGGAGAAAGAGGCAACATTGGTCCACCAGGTTCGAAGGTGGGAAATTCATTTAACTTGTTGTAAAACCTCAGTCGTTTTTTCCTCTTAGTTTCCTTTCTTCTCTTAATGCACTCAGGGGATAATGAACATTTCTTGCTCTGTCCGCCTATTAAAGCCCAGGGAGGCTTCTCTGGAAAAACAGAACCCTTTCTCAGTTGAATTGTGATCACCAGGAGCCACTGTAACCTGTTGCTTAAGATTTCTGTTTTAAAATATGGTTAAAATTGCATTTTAAATCCTCAGGTGCATGATGCCATGCTGTTTTGTGAGGCCGTTTACATTCTCACCAGAACAAAAATGAAAATCAGCAAAGCTTATATAAAACACTAAAAGTTCCATGTGGCCTCCTACTCCTTAATATCATGGTATGTAGCTAGTACCCCACACCAGAGCACTCCCCCCCATGACACATGTCTGTGGTACAGTAGTAGATTCATGTCATGTTGAGCAGAGGCCTCAGGAGCCGTGCACAACCCCAATCCAGTGTTCAGCACAGAGGCCACTGTTGTTGCCTATTTCTGTGCTAGAACCTGCCCATCATCCTTCAGCCAGGCTCCTCCTAACCCACACTTGACCACTCAGGAGGTACGATTATAGAAATGGTGGTTGGAAGGACCTCCAGAGGTCATCTAGTCCAATATCACACTCAAAATGGTATTATCACCAACACTAGATCACATCAGCAATGGATTTTTCTCACTGAGCCGTAAATACCTCCAGTGAGGTTCCAAAAACTTTGTGGGTATCTTGTTCTGGTGCTTCACTATCCTCTTTGGAAAAACAGTTTCCCTAATGTGCAGTCTGTACCTCCCAAGCTGTAATTTGGCCTAGCTGTCTAACTCACCACATGCACCAGTGTGCAACCTAGACCTGCTGCTCTGGAACAGTGCAGGTTCTAGACATGAGACCCCATTGACAGGGAAACCTGCCAGTTTATACTACTTTACACGGTGTTAGTACTGAAATGAATGGAGCTGGAGTCCATTCTTTCATCTCCAATCTTTCCTGTCATTATCCCTGTCTATTCTGTTTTGGGGTCCTCTTGGAACTCACCCCAAAGCTTCTGTTTGTGCTGCTTTTTGCCAGTCCCTGGCTGACTTGCGTGCCTTTTGCAGGCATAAGCCAGAAGAGGGCGGTGCTGGAACTCATAGAAGATTAAAATAAAAAAATAAAATAAAATAAAATAAAATAAATAAAACAAAAGCTTCGCTTGCATTTGGGACAGCACTGAAATCAAGAGTTGCTCTAGGAAACAAGATAAAAGCAATTATGAACCTACCCTTGTGCTTGCTGAATGTTTACAAGAGTATTATCACAGTCTTCTAGCAGCATCTGCTTGTTTATTTTTAAAAAAACAACAATGTAGCAGGACTCTGCCATAAATTCCATCTGCTGTACATATTTTGAGTGTTGCCATTTCACAGAGATATTTGTCAGCATGATCATTAAAGCTGATGCATTGATGCATAAGACAGTTTTTTAACTTGTCCTTTTAATCTGATACCATAGATTATTTTCTTAATTATTATACATACAAGTGCTTTGTTCTGTGGTCCTTGTTGTAGTAATTATTATCATTGATGTGATAGATACATTTCAAACTCTTGCGTAAGTAGAGTGACTACAATGATATTTAAAAATAATCAATCTCTCTCTTCAATCCTCAGATTAAAAAAGATCTTAGTCCTCTTATATTTGAGCAATGACCTATATTCTTAAAATATGGAGGAAGATAAGAATAAGGATGTCTCTGGATACATTATTTACAGTAAAACATCTTACCTATCCTGGATCTTTTCTTCCAAATTAAATTTTGTTAGGAGAATCAATTGGTGAAATTATTCAGCATTTGTAATAGTAGGAAGCTCATCTGCAGGTACCAACATGCCTGAAATGACAACATTCAGTTGCAGAAATGCTGTTGGTCCAAGGTTATTTCCTCTGCCCAGTTACTTTTGCTGCAGATAGATACATATAATTTTCCAAAGCATTGAAGAGACTTAAGTCCCAAGTAGCATTTTTACCAGTCATGTAGGTGCCTAAATCCCATTAGCATTCAGAGACACCTTTTATCCTGCACTTGATTATACAATGAAAATTAGAGGGCTTCAGAAATTATACTTTATCTTAATAAAGTAAGTGTTTATTCCTGAGCCAGATGCTTTGCTGATCACAGACAAAAAAAGAAGTAACAGTGAGAATATCCTTTCTTAATGAAGCAGACACATTAAATCTTTTATGCTGGTGGTTCTGTAGAAAGGTATAGGAAGATAGAGGATTTTGCATCCTGTGAACTGTTAATTTGAATTTCTTCTATCACACCAGAAATGCAGCAGAGAAGACCATTTTACTTTGGGTGCTTTGAAACTGTTGTTCTTTAAGACACTCCTGTAGAGTATTCGATAATTCTCAGTGGTTTTATTGGGTCACATCCATTCATCCCAGTCTCCAACAATGTTAAAAGCATATGCAGTTTGAGCAGATGCTTAGATGCAATTTGACCTCATAAAAGGGCAAGCATTACATCATAGTTGTCCTGACTGACCTCCTAGACTCCAACAATTTGTGACTCAGTGACTTTCTCAGCTAGAAATGGTGTCTGAACCACAATTAGATCTCTTCAAGTGAATTTGATGTCTCCCCTGGAACTCGTGCAAACTACTACGATTTACGAGACCTTGGGGCAAGGTGCTCTGCCAACGTAACTACTCATCCCATGAACCTCTTCCAGCTATTTTCATTTGATGCCCACTATTTCTTCTATTAGAATTGCGAGTCCTTAACTACTCTGTACTTTTAGAAGCCGCTACAATATTCTTCACCCACTCCTCATTTGTCTCTTTTCCAAGCTAAAGAGTCATAGCTTACACCATGTCCCATATAGAAACCATTCTGTACCTTCCGTTATTCCCATTGGCCTTTTCTGAAGTTTTTCTAGTTCCACTAGATCCTTTTCAAGATGGAAAAGGTGAACAGAACAGTGCACAGAATTCAAGTTATGGGCATACAATAAGTATACACAGTAGCATAGTAATGTTCTGTGCTCTTGTTTTCCTGTCCCTTTTATAATAATTTCTTGTATTCAAATTATCTTTTTGACAGCTACTGAGCTGACCTTTTAACGGACTCATCTATGTCTTCTAGATTTTCATGGTACTATGTACTGTAAAAACCCCAAAATATTTTGTTGAAGCAGAACAAACAGTAAGAACCAAAACAGCCTTTTCCTAAAAAAAAACCAAAACACTTCCCTCCCCCCCCAAAAAAAAACACAAAACAAAACAAGAACCACCCAAAAAACCCCACCAACCAAACAAGCAAACAAACAAAAAAAATAGCCCCACTGCTAAAACAAAACATGGCTAACCTGTCACTTGGATGAATCATTAGGCTGTTCTGTGTTATTTCCTTTGCTCTTTCATATGACACAGAGGAAAACAGATGCAAAAAATGTAGTTCACTGTTTATCTGGTCCTTTAAGAACTCAGAGTCTTCCTTTATCCATTTTTCTCTGGGCAAACTGCATTATCATTACTGAATGATACTTCTGTTTTTCCCATAGAACAGAGTAATCAATCAGATTCTTAGCAGTAATATACAGTCCTGCATTAAACTAGAGCAGGGGCTATCAAAGTGTTTGCCCCACATACATGTCTACATTCAATGCCTCTCCCTCCTCTTCCTCCAGCTTGAGAGTCACTTAACAGAAGGGTGGAAATAACTCATGAAATGTATCTTGGGGGAAAGCAACAGAATTCGCCCTTTTGCTAAGCAGAGGTGGGAACAGTGAAGAATGATTGAAGCTGCATTAAAAAAAATGCTCTGGGGAGAGGGAAACAGCAGGAGGAGTGGAGAGAGCAGATGACTAATGAGATAATGCTGACTTCACGGAGCGCCCCACAAACCTGCCCCCTAGTCCATTCAGAACCATGCTGTGTCCCTTTCAAGAGTGATAGCCTCCTCCTTGTATGAAACTGAATACAATTTAGAGAGAATAACAGTATATTTGTTGTGGCAGGGAATGCCGGGAACAGATGGAAAACCAGGCTTTCCTGGCATTGCTGGACATCCCGGAGTTGTGGTGAGTAGGGCTATCATAATCTGTGATCACTTTACACACACTGGCTCCCAAACCTATGTCTTAAGGATAGCAGGAGCCCTAACGGTACTTGCTAGCAGCATGTGGGCCTGGCTTTGTCCTACTTAGCCTGGAGCAGTTACCTCAGACACCAAACACAGGAGCAGAGTGTCCCTCGCCCTTGCCTCCCTCATCAGTCAGAAGTGATACAGGCATCTCCAGAGGCTAGTGGTGATTCTTTGATGCTCCTTTTTCTTTTAATTATTCAGAAATCAGCTCTGCTTTTAATTAGAGGGAAACCAACAGGCTCATAGGTGATTTTAATGTATTTCTCATGCTTAAATGCCCCAAGGATTACAGAGCTCTTTAGCTGGGAAGTTCCACGGCTCGTCCCCTGCCACCTTCCTCTCATTCATGCCAGACAAGCTGTCTGTGTGCCCAGCACAGTGAGTTGTATCGAGGGGCTGATCAAGCTTAGAAATAACCTGCCTGAAAAATGACTGTTTAGCTCACCTGTGTTCCCCTGTCTGATCCACTGGGCAATCCTGGACACAGCTGAGGTGGTTAATGCTGAAAAAGTAAGGAGCAGCCAGGCATGGCAGATTTCAGTGCAGTGAAAGAAAAGCTTGTTGAATTAATCCCCAACTAATGAAAAGTTGTGTGCCCATTTGCTTCTGGTCATCTGTGAACTCTGCCAAACATGCTGGGAGATACTTCTAAACATCAAATCCTCAGAAGGTCCAAGCTGAAACAAGCCCACCCCATCTGTGGTTTGAGAGAGCTGGGGATCGATCGTTCTGTACCCGCATTTTACTGTTGTGCATTTTGTGAAGCTAGAGAAAGCATATTTTCACATTTTTTCCTTTGAAATCACTTATTCTCATTTTTTTTATTACATGCAGGGTCCAAAAGGGGAGAAGGGTGACCCAGGACCTCAGGTGAGTTGTGTGGATTTCATTCTTTCTGAGAAACCTATGTGAAATGTAGTACTTAGTAAATGGGTTTTACACCTGTAATGCTTTTGAAATAGGGTGAACGAGGACAGGATGGGAACAGTATTGTGGGACCACCTGGACCACCAGGACCACCAGGACCAATCATAGCAATTCCTGAGGTAAGCGTGTTTGTCAAGCATTAAAGTCTCTGTAGCTCATCTTACAGAGAAGAGGGCACAAGCAGTTAACAAACTGGCAATTCTGCTGTTGATGTTCAGGTCATAAGTCTACTCCTCAAAACAAAAAACTCTCAATATGTCTCTATATTAAATTGATTTGTTTTGAAAAGATGAAATAGGAAGGAAAGTGGGTGAAGAGCTTACACAGAAGAATTATGGGGTCATATTAAGAGCTTCTCACAAACTCTCCAGGTGATTCTGCAGGACTTGTGAACATCAAATAAAAATCAACAGAGAAATACAAAACTGGGAATGTTTAACAAAGCATGGCACTTGAGACACAGCAGTATGTAGGAGAGAGATACATTGTGTTTTCTGACAGGTGTCTGCTATACAAACCAGCGCACTGACTCTGTTGCGGAAGCAACAGCTGAAAGTACCAAAGGGTAAAATGCTAGAAGCTCATAAAAACCGTTCAATATCCTTTAGCTGCATGTATATTTTCAGTCAGTTTTGTTTTGTGTACATCACCCTTTGCAAAAACAATACTAGTTAGCAGCAGTGAAGGCTAGAGATTAAGATTAATCCCATTTCAAGCTGTCAACAAAAGTCCTTGTAGCTGGCTTGATTAAGATCTGGAGAAGCTGTGAGTGGCTGCAGGAAGTTCTTCACCTCTGAGAGCTGAAGGTGCCTAAACCAGCCAGACTTGTCCATAGGAATGCATATAACGGCAGTGACAAGTGATTTGTGATTGCAAGAAGGGAAAATGCCCAGTTGAGAAAGCTGTGTCAGGGGGAGCTGGGCACCAACTTTATCATAAAGCTGAGCTACATATAACATTTTTTTTTGCCTGAAACAGCTAGGCTTCCACTTAGGCTTCTGCTACTGATAGCAAATATAGCATAAATTGGCATTCCATAGCCCACACAACCAGTCCCAAAAGAGTTGTTTTTTTTTTTACTGGATTTACTGGGTATCCACCCAGAATCTTAGGATCCAAGATCTAAGATCCTAAGGTCTTGGACGAGCAGATTATAGATTCACAGAAATGTTGGTTGGAAGGGGTGTCTGAAGATCGTCTAGTTTAAAGTCCTGCTCAAAGTGGGACTGTCACTGGCTCTACACTTCATCATGTTTCTATTGGAGTTTCTGGGAAATTCCTCAATAGCTGTGACAGAAATGCTGGTGTAAAATACATGTTCTTTCTCACAGACCTGTCACAGTGTCACTGTGGGGCCTTGACTCTTATGAGTGACTAAACAGCTCCGTTTGCAGTAATAATGAACCTGAATTTGTTGCTCCTTAGCTCATTAATACTTGAAAAAAACACTGTGAGAGCCTCAGGAGGAGGACAGTTTGTATCAGAAATATAAAAATATTATTGAAGCTGACATAGCAAACTAGTGACACTAGTTTGCTGGAGGCTGCATGGCTCCCTACATATTGTGATAGCCACAGTCCACACGTTTATCTAATGTGTAGCTATGTCTGAAGAAACCTAACATGCAATCCTCTGAATTCTCCAGAACTTCTGTATGGACTACCTTCACCATGCATTACAGAAATGTATAGAGCCTGGTAGAAACTGTATTGCATTAGGTGCATTACAAACCCATACAGAAATCCATTTTCTTCTCTAAATACCTTGGAGTTTAAGAAGTAAGCTCTCTTACAAAGTAGTGTGCATTATATATATGGCTTTATGTGCATTTGTAGCAAAGAGGTATTGCGGGTGGGGGGTACAGCAAGAGCCATCTACCCTCATATGCTTCAAATCCTCTATATTGTTAATCCGATTATTTCTCTGAGGACTTGGTATGCTGGATTTTGATACAGTTAATTAAACATGTGTGTGTGTAAGTATACGTCACTACATGTGACATTGAGTTCTACTTGCCTCACAAATGTTTGTATAAGAACAGAACCTTTGCTTACTATACATTTGCTGTGATAGAAGATTAAATTATCCAAATATATTTTGTTGACTCTGTCTCTCATCTCCTGTAGTTAGCTTCAGATATGGAAAGAACTACTGCAAGTAGACCTATCAATTGCAGTTGAAATTACAGAACTAAAACAAACACCAGTACCAGCTGTTGTAATGCGGATATTGACTTGATGTGGGTAAAGCAGCAGAGATCAATTAAGTGATCTAAGTGAACCACAGGGCAGTTAGAAAGATCACTCCTCGGGTCAGGGTCTATTAGTTCACTCATTTAACCATCGTGTAGCCAAAGACAACAATACTTCTTGGGCTATGGAAGTCCAATGGACTGATCTGCCAGAGTTGGAAGGAAATTTTCTTACGAAGGGCTGTGTGGCTACAACTAAACAGATTTTATGCTTCTTGATCAAAATAAAACAAACTAAAGAGCTGGTGCAGTTTCAGTATTGTTGAAATATTAAGATCTGATGTGGAGAGTTGTGGCTGAGGGCGAGGTCCTGACCTGTACCTGGCCAATAGCTTATTGACTGAACTGCACTGAAAGGTGGACCTTGGTTTCCTCCTCATTTAACCTGGTCCCTATGTGAGCTGAGGGGATTTGATTCCTTCAGGAGCCACTTCTAACACTGTGAAAAGACATGGTAAGATAAAACTGAGGTCTGCAGTGGAACCTAGACATTTCCAGGCCTCTGCAGTACCTACCAACCAACACCGTGGGTCTCAGAGGCTTGCAGTCCTTTCTGCCTCCTCTGTTGCCTCCTGCTGTTGGCCAGAAAGTCTGCTCTGAACTGTCCTGTTAAAAAAACGATGTCCCTCATTTTGCTGCTGTTTGATATTCCAAAATACTAAAATCAATATTCCTCATCCTATACTGGCTATTTCTCTCTTTTGGAGCATAATCTCTGATACTCAGTGCATTTTCATGCATGGAATCATGATAACCAGTAAACCATATTAATTGCTGCTACGATTTTATCATTCCAATTTAGTTGGATACAGTACAGGAATAATTTTGAATAGAGAAATTTTATTGGATTTAAATTTAAAACTTTTAAACAATTATCTATTGCTGCCATTATTCATCCATAGTTTAGATACAAGAACTGAATGAAAGGCCTGGAAAAGGTTAATGTTGGGGGTGTAAAGCAAATGACAAAAGATTTTGTATTTCCTATGTTCTTTCTGTAATTCTAATAAGGGCATATTCATGCCATTTGGATACAAAGCTAAAGGTTTACTTAGAACCCAACCCAGACAATTACACTAAGAACTACTGTTTCTTCCTCTTCATAACAGTGAAGAAAATGTGAAAAACGACATTGTCCTTACTTTGTAGTCAGCACTTTCTGAACTGATTTGATGTATTGAAAAGTTACATTGCTGGATTGTTGCTATTAAAGCTGCTTACACATCCAAAAAGGAAGATAAGTAACTATATACTTGGGGCAGGTTGTGAAGAGTGCAATCTTTTTCTGTAATCATCATGTTAGTACCCTCTATTTTCATATCTTCTTGAGCACTAGGTACAGTTTTCTGACTTTCAACCACAATTTCCATTTGCAGCTAAACTCTATTTATAAAATATACAAACTGCCTCATCCCAAGCTCAGCAAAGCCTTTGGGATTCTTTCCACTGACTTCAATACAGTTTGGATTGAGACCAAAAAAAATGAATACTGAGTAATTCCACAATGAAAAGACAGTGTAAACCCAGGGCTCCTGGATTTCTGCCACCAACTGTAGATAAAGCAGAACAATTGCAGCAGCAGGACTCTTTTGTTACTGTTATTAAAGTAACAGCCCATGTCTTGTTCCCTTTCTGGGCCATATATAGCTGGGAATACAGTGGGACCAACAGCATCGTGCTACCCCTGGAACAATGCAGCAGAGAGCTCATGCAGGCTAGGAGATGGAGTGCTGCCTGCAGGACCTAAACTGTCTTTTTTGACAATTTTTCAGTGTTTTTTGTAGAACATGAGGACAGGGAGCAGGTAGCAGCACCCAGTAAAAGTAACAGACTTTAGCTGTGTGAATCATGATGCCAACATGACCTCAAAGTACACCAAGTTGACCGTACACTGCCATGCTCAGATGACATAGGATAGGATAGGATAGGATATGTGATGTGACCAAGCAGGTCTGCCCTCTTTTGTGTCCTCCTTCACATCCCAGATTAGAAAAATAGTATTCAGAGACTCGTAAGATAATTGGAAGTGACCTCTGGAGGCCATATGGTCAAACCTCTTATTCAAAGCAGGGGTAGCTTCAAACTTAGTTCCTGTATGCTGTATTCATAAAAAATGTTGCAAAAGATTGTGATTGATCTGCACATGGTTACAAGCAGAAAAGACATTCAGATTTCACAATACCTCAGTGCCAACATGCGTATTCATGTGCTAAGTGAATCCCTGGCACCTGAAGTCATGCCCTGCCCTGGCCTTGTGAAATTCAGAAGATTTTCATTACATTGAATAGGAATATACTGCTGCACACAGAGCCTTATATTGAAATGGATGACATGGCTTGCCTGCTAAACAAGTGGAGTAGTTCAAGCCTCTGAGGAGATTCAGTACATATTTCTGAATCCAAAACAAGGCTACACTGTCAGCGGCAGGTGGGGAGTTTGACTGGGGCGGTACACCTGTCAAAGCATAACGCAGGTGTCCTAAGGCGAGCTCAGGGAGGACGGAAACCTCCCGCGGAGCAGAAGGGCAAAAGCTCGCTTGATCTTGATAAATGGGACTGTTGGAGTGAAAGAAATTAAACAAATGACAAAAACTGGGCAAGGATCTCTTTTCACCTACAACATATTTGTGGAGCAAGCACTTACATATTGTCTGTCCTGAATTGTAATGTATGACCTAATGATATGGTATTGGGAACACGTATTTAAACCAGAAAGGTAGCTATCTGAAACCAAAATGAAACCAAAACGAAAGCCTAATCATAACATCAGGACAAGAATCTGATTGGGAGCAGCCACCATGGATTTACTAATGGCAATTCATTCCTGACCAAAATGATTGCTTGCCTGTGGACAATGGATGTGCACTGGATGTTGTACACCCTGACTTTAGCAAGGCTTCTGATGCAGTCTCCCACAGTCTTGCTATCACCTAATGATGACCTATGAAGTGGATAAGTGGATGATAAAATACGTGGGAAATTGGCTTAACTGATAGACTCAGAGAGTTGTGATTAGCATTCATGAGACTGCTTCTGGAGTACCGTCTCCAGCTGTGAGACCCCCAGTACAAAAAAGACATTGACATAATGGAGCAAGCCCTGTGCAGGGCTGCCAAGATGGTCAGGGGACTGGAGCACTGAGAGAACTAGGTCTGCTCAGCCTGGAGGAAAGAGGGCTAAGGAGAGACTTTGTTGCTGTCTTACAACTGGAAATGCTATACAATGGAGAGGAAACAGTCTAGGACGTTCCTGGAGTGTGTGGAAGATAACTTCCTGACACAGCTGGTGAGTCAACTAGGGAAGGCGCCGCACTGGACCTCTTGTTTGAGAGCAGGGAAGGACTGGTGGATGATGTGATGGTTGGAGGCTGTCTTGGGCATAGTGATCATAAAATGATAGAGTTTTTGATTCTTGGAGAAGTAAGGAGAAGTGTCAGCAGAACTGTTACCTTGGACTTCTGGAGGGCGGACTTTGGCCTGTTTAGGAGCCAGGTTGACAGAGTCCCTTGGAAGGCAGTCCTGAAGGTAAAGGAGTCCAGGAAGGCTGGACATTCTTCAAGAAGGAAATCTTACAGGCACAGGAGCAAGCCATCCCCATGTGCCAAAAGATGAGCCAGCAGAAGAGAAGACTGGCCTGGCTGAACAGAGAGCTCTGGCTGGAACTCAGGAAAAAAAGGCAAGGTTATGACCTTTGGAAGAAGGGGCAGGCCACTCAGGAGGACTACGAGGATGTCATGAGGTTCTGCAGGGAGAAAATTAGAAGGGTCAAAGCCCAACTGGAACTTAATCTGGCTAGTGCCATAAAAGACAATAAAAAATGTTTCTACAAATACATTAGCAACAAAAGGAGGGCTAAGGAGAATTGCCATCCTTTATTGGATGCGGGAGGAAACATAGTGACAAAGGATGAGGAAAAGGCTGAGGTACTTGATGCCTTCTTTGCCTCAGTCTTTAACAGTAAGACCAGTTTTTGTCATGGTACCCAGCCCCCTGAACTGGAAGACAGGGAGCAGAATGAAGCCCCCATAATCCAAGGGGAAATGGCTAGCAACCTGCTACACCACTTAGACACACACAAGTCTATGGGGCCAGATGGGATCCACGCAAGGGTACTGAGGGAGCGGGCAGAAGTGCTCACCAAGCCACTTTCAATCATTCATAAGCAGTCCTGGCTATCCGGGGAGGCCC